AGCAGGGGGTGGGGGGGGGGGCAAACTACAAAAAAGGTACAAGTACCTTTTTCTGCGATACACATTTCTTTTAGTACATTTTTCCTTTGTCAGCTCTGTATTGTATAGTCAGAAGACCCTCTGTTATTTTACAGTCTAGGGTAGATAACCTAGGACAGTGATATTACTATGGCAGTTGTCAAGTTATGACTCAACAGACATAGGTGAGCAAAATCAAGTCTTATTCATTATAAATGGCACTCAAATGCAAAAGGTCTGATCAACGTTGGAGCAGATTTTTCAGTTAAAAGTGACACTAAAAACTCAGGAGCTAAATCCTAAAAAATGAATTCTAAGTACCTTATAAACAAAAATTCATCTTATGTGTACCACTCGGCTGTAGATCCTCAAAATCATCTGAATTCATGCGGACACGGTCCTTCCTTCTGGAGGGTGGCTACTTTTGTTCTCCATGTACGTGTTTGTAAAGCAGCCACCGTTCCAAGATTGCTGCTGTGATGGCCTACAATCTCATTTTTTTAATTTATTAATTTGTATTGAGATTGTAGTCCATCACGGGAGCGAACTTGGGGCGGTGACTACTTTACAACACACACAGAGACCATGGAGAACAAAAGTAGCGACCCTCCAGAAGGAGGGAGTGTCATCACAAGCTCAAAGAGGATTTGGAGGATCTACAGCTGAGTGATACACAAAGATACATTTTTGTTAATAGTTGGGGTACTTACAAGCATTTTTAAAATTCCCGAGTTTAGTGTCACTTTAAGACCCCGTTCACATATAGCGACATACCTTTGCAGCGGCCGGGATAGCGCGACTTTCGGAGCTACGTTCCAGCGACGGTAGCGCGACCTTCTCAGTCGGGCTCCATAGAAAAAAAGCAAAATCGCGCAAAATCCGCTGAAAAAAGGGTCCGGTAGAAGCGACTTGCGACCGCGACGAGCGACATGGAGTTAGAGAACTATGGGGTCAGTGTTTTTCCCCATAGTTCTCCTTGGGGTAACGGGAGGACACAAACTAGCGCCCTCCCGTTACCCTAAGCTCAGTATACCGCGAGCTACAGCTCACGGTATACTGAGGCGCAGCACCTGGAGCGGATCCCGACTTAGATGACGGGATCCGCCCAGCTGCGTCAGTGACAGCTGGCTCTGCCTATCTAGAGGCAGAGCCAGCTGTACCCGCCCCCTCCCCCGTCCGTTCCGCCAGTCAGCGCTGGCAGATCGGAGCGGGGAGAGGGGAATCCAGCCCCTCCCCCTGTCACGGCAGAGAGCCGTGACAGGATCGAGAGGTGAGGGAACCCGGTATGTGTTCTCTCACCTCCCGATCTACTGAGCCGACCTGTGACAGTCTCATTGTCACAGGTCGGCTTAGAACTATGAGGTGAGTGGAAATCACTTATGTCATAGTTCTCCTTTAAGACAGCTCCATTGAATAGCATTGGCCGGCGACTTCTCACGATATCGCGGCGGAAATCGCGCGACAATTCGCTATATGTGAACGGGACCTAACAACCTCTTGACTTTAAGCGAATATGGAAGCCAGGTTGTCAAAAGTCTCTGCATCTTGAAGAGGTGCATTTCAACATACTCAAGCGTACAGCTGCCAATACACTATACATATTTCAGCCCATTCTTTATGAAATAGCAGAAATTTGCACAGTGGGCATCCTTCCGGCTGGCATCCCTCAATGATCTGCTTAGTCGTGAGAGCATTGAAGGTCAGACATGAGGCTCCAGTACAGCTTTAACCCCTTCGTGACGGGAGACGTACACTGTACGTCCAGCCACAAAGGGACCAAATGACTTTTTCAGACACCCGATACCTTAATATCGGGTGTCTGAGAGTCAAAGCAAAGCGGACACAGATGCCGGCTTTTGCCGGCATTCTGACAGCTTGTATAGATCGAGAGATATCTCTCTCAAGCTATACTGGCTTTTTTTTTTTTCTTTCATGAATAGATACAAAATGTGTCTATTCCTACAATGTATCTATTCCTGGAAGAAGAATGTTTGTTTGCTGATCGTTGTTGCAACAATCAGAAAACATTTAGTAACAGCTGAATCCTGAACTGCTGCAGGATCAGTGTCACTAACTTATTATCGGCTGTTCTGAAGTTTGAAGCAGCCTGATAATAACCAAAAATTTATTAATTTATCATGCAGTAACAGTGAGATTAATTCACAAAATCTGCTTGATATAATTAAATAAATAAAATAACATTTTTAAGTTAAAAAAAAAAGTGAAAAGTGTAAAAAAAATAAAAAAATGTGTAAAAAATAAAATAAAATAAGGGACAAATAAATGAATGTATTTATTGCATTTTTTTAGCTGTGCTGGTTTTGTAAAAAAAATACTACAAATCAAAACTGGGAAAAAAGTGTTTTTTTTAAACGGTTTTTTCCTCTTTTTTTATATTTTATTTGTCCTAAGTGAGGCGTTAGACGCACATATGTGATATAAATATGTAGCCCTATCTGTCCTCTAAAAAACAATATATAATATGTGTGGGTGCACTTTGTAAGAAAGTATATTACTGACGTGGAAGAATCACACAGCAAAAATGTCAAAAGTGTGTCAGTCATTTACGAACAGAAACTAAAAACAAGCTCAGTCATGAAGGGGTTAAAAAAAAAAAGAAGTTCTCACAGGTCGGCAATCATATTCAAGCATGACAGATAAGCAACTGACATTTTCAGACTCAAATGACCATTTCCATGCACCTCTCAAGAATTCAAGGCCTTCTTTGCTACTACATCATAAAATGCACAAGCTTTCCGAATTGGGCTCATACTGCCCCCCAGGGGCATCCAGAATCCAAGTCAAGGGCTGAAGCACCATTCCCCAAAACCTCATCTACCAAAGTCACAGGATGGCATTTATCAATGTTGGAGCACACAGAACCTAGAGCAGTTGCCTGTAGTAATCAGCGTGTCTCTCCAATTTAGCTTTGAAAACAAAAGACAGAAACTGATTGGTTGCCATGGGCAACATGCTGCAGATTCTGTTTGCTCCAGTTTTTATAAATTCCCTATTTCTTCCATGTAAGGTGCATTTGAAGTACACCTATGCCTAGACCATGTACATGACATTTTTTACATATTCTTAACCACTTTAGCACTCGGACCTGTATAACCCTTATGGAGCAGGTAAATTTAGACATTTCCACTATCGGCCTGTTTATTTTGCAATTACTTTATTACTTAACCACTTCAGGAACGACATACATACATATTGTCTTCCTGAAGTAGTTATAACAAGATCATGCCTGCAAGTGACCTAGGAGGCTGTAGAGCCGCCTGATCACTTACACAAATGTGAATGGGCAGCACTTTAAAAAAGGAAAATTCTCCTTTAAGGAAGTCTGGCTGCATTAAAGGAGAACTATGAGGTGAGTGCTTTTCACTCACCTCATAGTTTTAGCTGACCTGTGACAATGAGACTGTCACAGGTCGGCTCAGTAGATCGGGAGGTGAGCGAACACATACCGGCGTTCGCTCACCTCTCGATCCTGTCACGGCTCTCTGCCGTGATAGGGGAGGGGCTGGATTCCCCCCTCCCTGCTCCGCCAGCGCTGACTGGTGGATCGGACGGGGGAGGGGGCGGGTACAGCTGGCTCTGCCTCTAGATAGGTAGAGCCAGCTTCAGTCACGCAGCTGGGCGGATCCCGGCACAATTGTCGGGATCCACTTCAGCTGCGGCGTCGCAGTATACCGCAAGCAGCAGCTCGCAGTATGCTGCGGCGTCTCAGTATACCGCGAGCTACGGCTCGCGGTATACTGAGCCTAGGGTGACGGGAGGACGCTAGTTTGTTTCCTCCCGTTACCCTGAGAACTATGGGGAAAAGACTTAACCCCATAGTTCTCCTTTAAAGGGGAGACATTTATTCACACTATCCTCCCAACTCAAATCACATAAAAAGGTCTTATCTACTTAAAGGATAGAAAACACGGTCAAGTTTGCGTGCTGTGTTCCTGCCATTTATGCCATATTCTGATTAATTTTATTTTAAATCAGATAGAAGCAGATCTTACTTAGACACTGTACTGCAGATAACCCAGGAAAGTCTGTACTCGTAACTATTTTCAGATTTATGAAAAGAAAACTTGGATGGTCCACATTATATGAATTGGTTTTTGAAATACCATTTAGTTCAGTTGGCAAGAAGTCCAAAGCTGGGCCACTTGACTCCTTTGATGACTCGTCCCCACCAGCATTTTGCACTTGGTTTTTAACTTTTACAGCCCCGATAAATGCATCTAGGTCCTCTCTGTTAAAAGTAATGTGTAAACACACAGGTATAAGATACAAGCACACACTTATATGACCACATAAAAGAACATAATGAAAAGAAGTCACAATGCTTATTTCATTAAAGTGTCGGGTGCATTGCTGACAATGAAAATGAATGACAAAATTGAGGACAACATTTATATACATGGCCGCTACTTATAGGATCACTTCTTAATTTATCTCCCACCAGCTCGTTTTAGAACATATTTTTTCCATAAATAGCAAGCTTTTCTAATTAGGGGGTAAGGCCAGATTTAAACCTGTGGGAGCTCATCAACACATGTTGGTAACACCATTTGAACACAAGCTTTAGGGGCATCCCACTCATTTCAATTGGCCACTCATTTCTTGTTATAACTACTTCAGCATGTGAACACAGTCAACCATGCAGCTTACATTGCAATGCACCACAACACCGATACAAAATACATATGCAATGTGCTACTCTGCATTTGCCAACATTTAGGTGAGCGTAAACAAGTGGGAAAACGCACATCCATAAGTGTAAGTACACCCAAAAGGTGAGGGGTTGCTTGGAGTTGGGTTTAAAAAAAAAAAAAAAAGTATCACTAAAAATGTTACATTGTTAATTTACCCACCAGTGGACCAAATGCATATAGCACTTGGTCCTATTTGGATTGTTGGCCCCACTGCGAAATACAAGCTCCCCTTTATTTAGGTTACTAGTGGCTGTAGCTTCACCTGAGTCTGAAGCCTAAAATATAGCATTCCTGTAAAGAGGAGGCACGGCCAGCAGCAAGCCCCTGGCCCCTCTCTTAGCCGTTTACCATTATGAATGATTAATCAGCACTACAGGGTTGTGTGATAGCAGTCAGCAGCTCTAGCTCTAACAGGGCAGTGGCAGGTCTACCACACAGGCCACAGTCATTCAGAAATGATCATTCAAGACTGCAAGGCTGTTATCCATCTGCCAGAGCTGCCTGTAAGGACACAGCATGGCAGATGGATCACAGCCCTGAAGTGCTGAATGAGTTCATGAATGAACAATCAGTGCCGCAGGGGCTGTGTCATACACTGTACTGGCCCGTAAAGTGCTGACTGTTCATTTATAAAATCACTCGGCACTGCAGGGCTATGATCTGCCAGGGCAGTTCTGTAAATACACTGCCCTGGCAGACAGATCATAGCCCACAGCACTGAGTAATCACTTACTAGCAGCACTAGTGTCCAGAGCTGCCCCTGCTGCCAAATACCAGCATCGTCTCCTTGCTAGCTGCGAGGATGTACAGAAGGGCTTAAACTTTTCAACCCTGATGCTTGGCAATGGCAGGACACTTTTTTTTTTAATGTTAAAAAGGGAAAATAAATAAACACTAAAATGTGGAGTCATAAAAGCAAGTTCATCCAGTGTAACCCCAAGCAACAGTAAGTAAGCCTTTAGGAGACCAAGTTGTATGCTAAAAAGGAGATTGGAGAAATCTTGTTACTTACAGATCATCCTTAAAGCTCAAGGCAAATTTTCCATTTTGGTTTCCACTAGAGTGACATAACTTAGAAATATGATCTGTTGTCACTGGTAACTTTTCACTTTCTAGGTAAGATGCTTGGACATCTGGAAGTCTAGAAATAAAATAGTGTAAAAACAAGCAGCACAAACTGGAAGGATATCTTCATATAAAAACACACACACCATTTTTTCCAGACCAAGTACAAGTAGCGATACATGTCCAATACCTTTTTGTTTAGTTTGATGTGACAGTTTTTCTAAAGCAATACAGACTAATGATTTCAGGACAGTGGAGGAGCGCCAGTACCTAGTCACAGCTGCAACCCTGGTAGATCTAGTGATAAATGCCAATTATCGGAACCAATACAGATACTGGTATCTGAACATCCATAGCCAGAACAGGAATGTTTACCCAAGTCAGAATCAGGTCTGCTTCTCTTTGAGCTGTGCTACATCTGGTGCATCCCTAAGGCCCCATTAACACTGAGCGATTTATCGCGCGATTTTTGCAGTGATATCGCTCTATGTAGCTTCCCCAATCCATTTCAAATGGAGCTGTTCACATCTCGCCGCTCAATATCACTTGTAGCTCGTCGCTCCTACATGACCCTTTTTTCTGCGGATTTCGAGCGATTTTGCTCCTGATTGCATACAGCCCAATGCGATAAGTCGCACCATATCGCGCAATTTTCATGTCGCTCAGTGTGAATGGGGCCTTATGGTTGACGTAGGACACGTCTGTGGCATTGACCAACTAAACCTGGGTCAGGTGATGCTGCAGCAAATAGGTCCAGCGAAGAACGAACAACTAAACTGCCCTGAATTCAAGATATTGAAAGGAAGCCAAGCTTTCTACACATCCAAGTCCCCTGAACTGAGAGGGCATCCAGGAATGCTCCCTAGTCTGACAGCATGACTACTTTTCTCCACTTTAGGCCTGGTTCACACCTGGGTGTTTTACTGCGCATTCCTACGCGCTGTAAAACGCTCAACATGTGAGAAATAATAATTGCCTATGGGCATGGTTCCCACCTGGGCATATTTCAGCGCGTAGGAACACGCTGAAAAACGCCCTACTCCCAAAGAAGTACGGAAGCTTCTTTGGGGCGTATTTTCCACGCACATCCATTAGGATACAGCCGGATAGCGCTCGGAAACGTGCGTTTGTAGCGCGTTTCTTTTACCGCAAACGCGCATATACGCCCAGGTGTGCACCCAGCCTTAAAGTGTCTGACTGATTGCAAGATTGAAGACATGTGATACCACATAAAGAAAAAAAAAGTGATCACTATGACCCAATTATTTACAATCGTTTCTATACCAACAAATCTGTCCAGGCCATTTTAGAAGAGCTATGTAGAATAAGCAATAAACGCTTTTCATGCTTTCTTTTACGATAGAACTTTATTCCAGTCTTGGTACGATAACTGAGGGTCATTAAGTCGCACACTAAATGGACTTTCAAAATATTTTTTGCAACATGAATCCAGATCATTACACTAGAGGTCATTTAGAATTTTTTTAAATCATTTTCTTTATTAAAAATATTTAATATGTTTACAATCACACATCAAAAACAGAGTAAATAAAATAAACCAGTATAATGCAGTATAATGCTCATCAAGGTTCAATTTGCAATGACTTCTCATGTCTGTGGTAAGAGTGTGCATCAACATTATTGAAGACAATAAGGTTATGAAATGAGAAACTCAAACAGGTAACGGTCAGAATGTTTATTCTGATAAAATAAATTTATAAAAACAGGCAAGGATCTGAATTTAAAAAGGAGATTCCCAACTTATTTTCACAAATCAATTAATAACTCTTAAGTTCTTTATTTGCGCTAACCTGAAGACGAAATAAAAACAAACAATAATGTACAAAAATATATATATTTATTAACTAAAATCAGTGCAAAATAAATCAAAATATAACTGGTGACAAAAAAAAAATATGGATCAAAATTCCAATAATTTTGATCAGCAAGATAATAAAATAAAACCACAGGGTATTATTTCAAATATTAAAGAAACAAAACTAAGTAACTCCTGGAATACGATTAGTAACTTCCCAGTAGCCAAGCATAATGTGACAAAATAACGTGCAGATTCAACACGTGACCTCTCCCAGCAACAGATCTAAAAAAAAGTCAAATTTCTACCTGGCATGTACGAACTTATAATAATATGCACATGACTGGCTATGAGCCAAGAATCTATTTCAGATAAAGACAAACTTCCATTAGGTGATTTTATTTTTATGTATATATCACAACTAAACCATTGACTAGAAACTGAAATCAGCTTCAAGGAGACTCCATAAATATTTATCCCAAGATTGAAAGGGAGACAATTTTTACTGCAGATAAAATCTAACTCCAATTCAATCCTGATGCTAACAAGGACCAAATGGTTTAGTTAGATATATATGGCTAGTCAATTGCCTATAGATAACTAGAAATCTATACTTTACCAAAAATTGAAAAATCTTTTGTCTAAGAGATGTCAGAATTGTGTCAATGTAGTGTCCTTTTTTTCAGTTTTTTTTAGTTATACACACTCTTAAATTTCTCCTAACTTATCACCCAAAAAATGTGGGAGGAAAAAGCTCATCTCAACCTAATTATGACATCACACTCAGATCACCTTGCTACAAATTACCTGAAGAGGGCAATGTTGTGCTAGGAATAATTTTGGATTTTTCATTAAAATTCCAATATTATTCCATGAGATTACCTCTAACCTAAGTCCATAAAATTACAAATTAAATCAGATATCTTGACATACCTGGTCAGACTTACTGTCTCTTTAAGAGGTGTATAGCTTGAGAAAGTCTGAGCAAGACCAACAAATTAAATTTTCTTCTACATTGCATTGAGAATAAAATAATAATTTCTACTAAGACACAGTGGTTACTCACATTATTTCACTGATTACAAAATAATATACCCAACATAATTATTTGTACTTTTTTTTAAATGCCATATTAATTATACTAAAACCGTATGTTTCAATAAGTACAACCAAATAATATATAAGTAATATAGGTTGAATATTACAACACACACACACACACACACACACACCTTGAAAAATCAGGACGGGGAGCAATTTTAAGGCTTGACATGTTTGGTGTCTACCCGACGTGACCCGGTCTTTTATATTTTAGCAAAAATATGGGTAAGAACAGATGTTTTATAACATATTGTATGGAAACTGTTTTTAAAAATGTACTGTACTTTTTCATTATATAGTAAAAAATAACCCCCCAGTGGTGATTTTATATACCACCAAAAGAAAGCTCTATCTGTCCCCCAAAAATATTAACATAAATTGCAAGGCTATAGTCTGGTCATGCTGACTGGTGACATTTTTGACTGACGAGGCGCATCAACATTTTTCAAGACACACACACACACACACACTATATAAAATTTATCTATATCTATCCATTTCAAGTAAATATTTAAATGCTTCATGCAATAATTATTATAGCAACGACAACTGAAATTACCAAATCCATTCATATAATAATAATGTATACAAGGTAACTTTTATGTTGAGCTCTTTTTCCTAGGATGAGAAAAGGTACAAAAAAAAAAAAACAAAAAAAAAAATCATGGTAGTCTCTTTTGTTCTTTGTTAAGTTTGAGACATGGCAATTCCATCAATCTCAGTCTAACACAGTCTAGTACCATGGCTAGTCCTTATCTCGTCGTTGTCCGGTACCCCCACAATATACAACCTGGGAATGTATGTGGTAAGGTTCAGAGAATCGCTGATGTTAGAGTCTTTGTCCAGAAACTATGAACTCAAAATTCACTGACGGAATAGAGTGAACAAAAATGGCTTCCAGGATGCCAATGTTACATTATGTAGAATAACATGTTTAGGCCTTATAGTTTAATTCCTTTTAGCCCAATAGTTCTGACATAACATAAAAACAGAAGCATAAAGTAGGTAAAAAAAAAAAAAGGGGGTGAAGAGGAGAGGAGAAAACAAAAAGAGGGGGGCAACCTGGATAAGGATAAGAGGAAGAAATAGCAAAGATTAGGCTTCTGCACCTCACTACCATGGGAGGAAGAATTCCCAGATATTTTTCCCCACAACAAATCCTGGAGGAGCACGGGAGGAAGATTCTAGAAGGCTTCAAGGAGACCACACCTTTTCAAATTTGTAAATGGAGTAACTCAACCGAGCAGTGAGATATTCCAAAATGGTGCACATCATGAATCTTCTGGAGCCGGTCTAAATTAGAGGGAGCTTTGCCTGCCATTTCAAAGCCATCAGGCATCTTGCTGCTGGGAGAACATGATTAACAAGCTTGGAACATGTCTTAGTCATGCGTGGGAAAGGGAGGCCCAAGAGCAGATGGATGGGATTGTCTGCTATGTTTAGATCCAACAGACATCTAAGATATAACACGCTCTCAAACATGGGGTATCCTGAGACATTCCCAGTAAATTTACCAGTATGCTTTGTACATCACCAACACAGAGGTTAGCAAAATGCTTTTGGTTTGTAGTTCTGGAGTACAGTACCAATGGTAAAGAATTTTGTACTGTTTTCCCTTATATAGGGAACAAATAGACATATTGTTGGCGTTGGACCAGATTTCCATGTCCAATGTTCATCCCAAAGCCGCCTCCCACTAAGAATTGGTTCACACCTGGACATTTTTCAGCGCTGCAAACGCTCAAGAGGTGAAATCCTATTAATCCCTATGGGCATGGTTCCCACCTGGGCGTATTTCAGCCCGTTCTGTCGCGCTGAAAAACGCCCTACGCTCGGAAAAGTACTTGAGCTTCTTTTTCATGCGTGGGGCAGATTTCAGCGATTATCCATGGTATTCACGTGTGGCTCGGGGTTAATTTCCTGTACCAAAGCGGTAACCCCGAGCCACACTCAGAAATAGAGCGTAGGTCTTACCTTGTCCGCGATCAGCCGCTGTGTCCTCTGGCCCGCTGCCGACATCCGTCCGTTGTGAGCGTCCATGTCGCAGAGGGGCGGAACCCGCAGGAAATTTAAACGTTTTTTAAAAACACGAAAAACAGAGGAGAAAAAAAATCATCAGATGGAGCGGTCTATAATAGAAAAACAGGCAGTACAATGTATCAAAAGTTTTATGAAAATAAAGAAATAGAAAACATAAAACAAAATTGCATCAAAAAACCACCAACTGACAAAGACATTTAAAATCAATAAAAAGCAAGTCCTCCTTAGTATGGCCCGAGTGAAAAAAAAGGTGCAGTTGAAAATATATTTCGACCAAGTGGTCAAAAAACTAACTTTAAGCACAAGCGCTGTATAGAAAAAGCAGATACATATGTATCAAATGAAGAGTTACTCACTGTACAGTGTATTTGGATGGTTAGGCAGTCCCTGCAGGGAGTAGTATTGAAGCTGTGTCCACACGATCCAGACTCTGAAATCTGTTTCAATCAATTGTGGTGATATGACCAAGATGGAAAGGTGCTGCACGGTCTATTCTGACTGTATCCAGTCCTCCCTGTATGCCCACGATTTACCTCCTCGACAGCGCTGGCTGTTTGAAGTCCTTTTTGGAGTTTTCTCACTATAAGCAAATCAAGCTACAGCATAGAAGTGGTGGACTCGGATACCTGCGTCCAATTGTCTATTGGAGGACATTTACTCGCTGTGAGAGCCTGCTGTGTGAACCCACGGATAGATCCCCAGCCGGCGATGTGTTTAATATACCGGCTGTGACAACACTGACAGATTTTCAACCTGCCACGCAAGTGATATCTGATTCATGGATTTCCATCTATCTGTGCCTTCAAGTGCACCCGCATGTGTGGAATAAAATCTTTAAACCTCATCCAGCAACATAGATTGTGGATCACCCTGCAGGTGGATGTCAGTGTGGAGACCTTGCAGCACCTTTCCATCTTGGTCATATCACCACAATTGATTGAAACAGATTTCAGAGTCTGGATCGTGTGGACACAGCGGACACAGCTTCAATACTACTCCCTGCAGGGACTGCCTAACCATCCAAATACACTGTACAGTGAGTAACTCTTCATTTGATACATATGTATCTGCTTTTTCTATACAGCGCTTGTGCTTAAAGTTAGTTTTTTGACCATTTGGTCGAAATATATTTTCAACTGCACCTTTTTTTTACTCGGGCCATACTAAGGAGGACTTGCCTTTTATTGATTTTAAATGTCTTTGTCAGTTGGTGGTTTTTTGATGCGATTTTGTTTTATGTTGTTTTCTATTTCTTTATTTTCATAAAATTTTTGATACATTGTACTGCCTGTTTTTCTATTATAGACAGCTCCATCTTATGGGATTTCGTATTTAGGGGAGCCTTGCTTGTTATTTGATAGATTATTGAAACCCAGGAGACCTGTCTTTACCACTCGCTACTATATACGTGACTCCCTTTCCTCTTATTTTGCTGATAGAAAAAAAAAATCATACCGCCAGTGGGTGAAAACACGTGTCGAACGCGCATTTCATTGGACAAACAACGTGCTTCAAACGCAAGGGCAAACACGCGCATAAAAACGAACCTATTAGGAACGCCCAGGTCTGAACCAAACCTTAAGCATATATTTTTTTCCAGGAAAGGGGTCAGCCTGGATAGAGTTCAGAAGTCTATAGTGATCGGAGATAAGATGCTTACAAGTAGGACCATCCAAACAGTATCTCAAAACAGGGTCAGTGGAGAAAGTTATGGCAGCAGAGATAGAATATCCATAATGTTTGATCTGAAGATAGGTAAAGAGGGATCTCAACGAAAGTTTAAATCTAGTGCGTAGATCAGCAAAAGGGTAAAAGAATCCTATCTATGGTATGCATAACATCCTTAAAGCGGAATAAGGAACTAATCGGACCAAGGGCAAGCTGCATGATGGTCAAGGGAGGCCTAAAGCAAAAGGTATGTATAGGAACGATCGCATGGGGGTAGTGGGAAAGGTCAGATTAAATTTAACCCCAGCATATTGCCAAATATCACTGGTATACATCATGGAAGACAACTAGGGTGGAGTCAAGAGAGAATGTTCCTGGCCAGAAAAGGGAGTTAAGATGGAGATCCAAAAGCTCTCTGTCCAACAGTAGGGGAGGGCGGAAAAAAAGGACCATGAGGCCAGATGGTGGAGGGGGGGCACCAGATAGTATTTGAGAATACTATGCAGCCCAGGCCACCCTGCGATTTGGAGGTCACCAGCACAAGCCTGGTTTTCCAAAGTAAATTAAAAAAAGGGAGCGTTTGAGGCTTTGAAATCAGACATAGGGATTTTAATAGGCAGTGTTTCAAAGTAATAATGCAACTTAGGAAGAAGTGTCATTTTAAAGTAAGGTCATTTTGCCTATCCAAGGCCAGGTGTATGATCACCACCTCTGCAGGTAGGCCCTAAGCTCCCGGAATAAAGGAAGGTAGTTATTTAGAATTTTAACTGGGGTGAAGAAATATTTCAGTAATTTGTAAATACAATGTAGACTTTCCCCCCTTCAAATCAGTAAGAAAAAATCAATTAGAAATCTCTTTTAATGCCAACCTGTAACACTAGAACATGCAAAAGACCAAGGTGAGCAAAAATTTCTACTTGGCCCTTACACTTATGCCTACAAAATGAAAGAAGACTAAGTTTAGATATTCTTGTATAAGCACAGGCATGACTGGTTCTGTGTACACAACTTAACAAATAGACATAAAAATACATTTTAAAAAAAAGAAGAATCGATGGCATAGCTTACCTTTCAATAGCAGTGCGGGCTTTTGCAACAGTAGATGCAGCAACTGGTAAACCTAAATTTGAAGTGAGGGTGCAGTTATCGAGAGTTTCACCAAGGTTGCTGCTCATTGACTCAGCCAAGAAGCTTGGAAAAGTTTCATCTTCTATGTTGACATATCGTTCAGACATTGTAAAGCTCTACCCTATACAGAACAAACATACAATTAGAAAAAAAGCCCACTAGAATTCTAATTCATCAACCTAGTCTTTTTTTTTACAAACTAATTCCAGTTAAGATGTTGATGCTGTTAGACTAGAGCATACTATAAAGCAGTGGGCTCAAAGTACCGTCCCCCCGAGCCTGTACTTTTGGCCCACAGCCAGCTCAAGTCAGGTACCCGGTCACGGACTGCGTACCTGACTTGCGGGAGGAGATCCACGGTCTGCATCTCTGTCGGATGCAGACCGCAAAGCTGCTCCTTTGTGCCAACACTCAGATCTTTTTTTAATATAACTAACCGATTAGTTGATAAAATAATCGTGTAACTAATCGATGAAAAAACAGTCAATGTCAGAACAAAACTGCATGCACAATTATTTGCAATTGCACTGGAACGCACAGCATTGCGGTACGGTGCATTCCAGTGAGGGCGATCACACTGTTGGCGGGAGGCACATTTGGGGTGCGTAATATAGTGGGTAGTGGGCTGGTGCATTAGCCTGTCTGCAATCGGCCATTTCAAATTGCAATAGCCAATAACAGGATGGCTATTGCACCCATCCACTGCTTGCTGTGCCCTCCTCCCAGGGTGGAGGAGAGAGCTAGGGGATCCAACCAACTTATCCATAATAAAAATTGTTGAAAACTATTCTCATTATCGATCTATTGGTTGCAGCCCTACTCTGTGTATGCGGCAGCACTTTGTGCAATGGCTGCATGAAAATCCAGTCCACTTTTACAGTCAAGCTCAGTAGTAATGCTCTTCAAGCAACTATGTATTTGACAACAAACACAGACTGGTAACATGATGCTACTCAGGAATTTAACACCGAGTATAAGAGCAGAGACCCTGTTAGTACACAGCAGCCACATAGTATTTTGGCAAAGTACTATACTACATGGTTTAAACCTGGTTAAACTAACGCACCGCATGCCTGTAGTTCTGTGATCAGTTCAGTGCTTACGCGCCACTCCCGCCCGGCCATGCACAATGAGTGGCAGTGTCTGGGATATATTACTTGTATATAAATACATTTTATGTTAATGCATATTCTCAAACTTATAAGCAGGAAAGAGTTCAAAAGTGATTGATATGCAGAACACCGAGTAAAAACACATACAAAGACAACAAAATGCCAGAAGCCACCTGTCACAGACGTATCAAAGATGTCATGCTTTAGTCTCCTTACATATTCTGTCTTACGGGATTCCAAATACAATGTAAAGGAGCTCAAAAAGCAAGAGAAACTGTAGCATTACTTAGGAATATCTGTGAACTGTTTCATAACAGATTGAACTAATTTTGTCAGTTTATAGTCATAGTTTTATTAAATTTCAGCATTGGAACCTTCATTTCCTTAGGTCTTTTATTTGGGAAAAGAGCAGGGAAAATAAATTGCTAACCCTAATGGAGATTGTGACATGTTAAAAGAATGAATTAAAATATTTATGTACTAAGAAAAAAGTATTTCCGTGTAGTTAAACCTAAAATCTCCAACAAAAGATTCACGATAAAAATATATTAGAATTTACAACAAGGCATGATGCCAAACATACGGGGGGGGAATTTATCAAACCTGGAGCAGACAGAATCTGGAGCAGTTGCCCATGGCAACCAATCAGCTTCTCTCTCCATTTCGTTAAGTTAAACTTTGAAAATGAAAGATAGAATCTGATAGGCTGTCATGCACAGCAGCTCCAGATTTTATCTGCTCCTGTTTCGAAAAAAAACCTCACTGTATTTTACAAAAACTGGAATTCTCAGGTGCTGCAGTGGTACATTATAAAAAGGTAAGCACAGACTCCTTGTGAAACCTGTAGTCAAGTGAACCAATTACTTTCTTCAGTTCACCTTAAGATTTAGGGCAACTACTATAAAAAAAAAAGCTCTCATTCAGCTGGAGTCACCCCTAACCTTTACTAGATACTTACTAGGCAAACAGAAACCTGAGTGTACAACAATCACATCATCACCTATTAAAAGGCTAAAGCTTGGTACACAGTTATCTTTCGAAAAATATGACAGATGACTCCATCCACACTAAACAGATGACCTAATCTCTAGCTGTGTACATCGCATTGTGCAACTGCAATGCTGCAAGCTTCATTCGGCCAACCAATTTTCCAACATGTTCCTTCTGCAAAAGTCGATCTAATGATTGACCTATTTTAAGGGAATTTCAGCAAATCACATCATGGTTTAAACCTGGTTAAACTGGCACATGGCATGCCCGAGTTCTTTGGTCAGACTGGTGTTTACGCGCCACCCCCGCCCACCTCAGTTGGAGAGACAGCGCTCGGGATAGGTGGCATTGGCAGAAAAAGATCACAAAGAGGGACCAGTTTGCACATCTGTCTACTACTGGCGAGCTACAAGACACTGTGGTAACACATGGCATGCCTATATCCTCATGGTCAGCCTGCTTCTTAAAAAGTCTCCCTTGTCCAGCCATGCACAATTCCCGATGGGATATGCGACACTGACAGAAGCCTACGATGGCTGTGATATGTGACACTTGTTGGTTATGCGTTTAGATGAAGCATTGAGATCTTGCGGAATGCTTAAAGGAGAACTATGAGGTGAGTGCTTCTCACTCACCTCATAGTTCTAGCAGACCTGTGACAATGAGACTATCACAGGTCGGCTCAGTAGATCGGGAAGTGAGCGAACACATACCGGCGTTCGCTCACCTCTCGATCCTGTTGCGGCTCTCTGTCTTGACAGGGGAAGGGCTGGATTCCCCCCTCCGCCAGCACTGACTGGCGTAACGGACGGGGAGGGGGCGGGTACAGCTGGCTCTGCCTCCAGATAGACAGAGCCAGCCGTCAGTCACGCACCTGGGCAGATCCAGACATAATTGTCGGGATCCGCTTCAGCTGCGGTGTCTCAGTATACCACGAGCTACAGCTCGCGGTATACTGAGCCTAGGGTGACGGGAGGACGCTAGTTTGTGTCCTCCCATTACCCTAAGGAGAACTATGAGGAAAAGCCTTAACCCCATAGTTCTCCTTTAAGTTTTACTTCCTTAGAATGACATTACGTTTGAATAAAGCATTGTGCAGGAGAAAGATGTCATAGACTAACATTGCAATAAAGCGCCATCGACAGCTCAAAGGACATAACAGTATATCGGTACATTAGAATGTCAGTAATACAAGCATTACACATCAGCATATGCTGTTGCATCTCCAACAACACGGACAGAAGCCACCGATGGCTGGGATGGGCGACACGGACAGAAGCCCCCGATGGCTGGGATGGGCGACACGGACAGAAGCCACCGATGGCTGGGATGGGCGACACGGACAGAAGCCACCGATGGCTGGGATGGGCGACACGGACAGAAGCCACCGATGGCTGGGATGGGCGGCACGGACAGAAGCCGATGATTGTCACAAGGAGTCTCCACCTCCACTGCTTGGAGCCCAGGTTACATATCTAGATTGCAGTCAAGTGATGGCTTGTACAAAAAAGTAAAAAGGTAATTACAATTTTTTTAATAAAGGGGCTTGAATTATATCACATGGTAAACAATACAACAAGGAAAGGGTTCGATCTCAAATTAAAAAGGAGAACTATGGGGTTAAGGCTTTTCCCCATAGTTCTCCTTAGGGTAACCGGAGGACACAAACTAGCGTCCTCCCATCACCCTAGGCTCAGTATACCACGAGCTGTAGCTCGCGGTATACTGAGACGCCGCAGCTGAAGCGGATCCTGACAATTGTGCCGGGATCCGCCCAGCTGTGTGACTGACAGCTGGCTCTGCCTATCTAGAGGCCGAGCCAGCTGTACCCACCCCCTCCCGTTCCGCCAGTCAGCGCTGGCAGATCGGAGCGGGGAGGGGGGAATCCAGCCCCTCCCCTGTCACATCAGAGAGCCGTGACAGGATCGAGAGGTGAGCGAACGCCAGTATGTGTTCGCTCACCTCCCGATCTACTGAGCCGACCTGTGACAGTCTCATTGTCACAGGTTGGCTACAACTATGAGGTGAGTGAAAAGCACTTACCTCATAGTTCTCCTTTAAAGCCCAAGTGAAGTCTCACCCCTTTTTATATCTTCATAATCCTGTAACCCTGCAGGTTATGTTATTTTTCCTTACATTTTTTCTCTCAGTGAAAACACAGTTTCCTTTCCTCTATGACACAGCCTCACCTCTCACCTCAAGGGTCCTCACACAGTCTCATATTGCAGGGGAAGAGCTATTGGACTGCCATGTCATATTTAGACTCCCTTTACAACTGCTATAACAGGATAGTGAAAGTATGACTAGAAAAATGGAGGTTGTCAGTTCAATGACTGACTGCATATCCATTTTTGTGACTTCAACTGGGCTTTAAAATCGGTCAGCCTATTTTCAGGCCTAAAATGTGGAATATAACATGGGTGTAAAAATTGAAAAAAGGGCCTCAGTCATGAAGGGGTTAAAAGGTCTAAAAAAGGAGCTAAAGTTTAGGAAGCAAACTGTTGAGCTATTTTAGCTACTAGCAGTTAGTCATCTCAAATGGACAATGACACAGATCTGAATAGGTCAGGCAGCTAAATTTCAAGAGACTACATTGTTTGGAGAAGTAACTGAGCACAAAACATAGAATAAACTGTTCCTTATAGCGTAAAGCTATAAAGTATCAATTCCTCCACCCCCCCTATCGGATGTCCTGATGACCATTATCAATGAAAATGGGCTGTTCCTGTTGTGGCTCTAGGTCAGGAAGTGCAGTAGAATTTCCCCAATGTAACACAGATGGCAAAAAAAGCAGACATGGGCTATAACTCTACCTGCTTTACACCATCCAATATGAAAATAAAAGTTTTGGTGTGAGGCCGGATGAGGTCCCACTTTCATAAAACACTTCTGGAATGGAAGTAGCAGGAGAATAAAGAGAGAAAACCTCTAGAAGGCTTTTACGAGTCAGAAAGACAACTACAGTATATGTATACACCTCACAAGGAGATACCTGGGAATGAGCATGCTTCCCTG